ATACTGCATTGCTGGTAAGTTTTAATACCTTTAATGAGATGCTTATAAGCCTTAATTTAAGTACTTAATAGGTGGGTTGCACTACCATTTTACCTGCCTATAAACTGAAGGAGACCCAAGATCCAATTCATTGAGAGTTAGGATACGTTTGAGGAACTGAGCCACCCAAGTCAGATATTTCTGATATTTAACTCCAAAGGATAAAGGATTTTTACTTAATTCATTTTCATTCATCAACAGCTGCTAGAAAGCTGTGTTAGAGCTTCCAAAATATGAAGTAGGAGTATGCTGTAAGCTGACATAGAATCTTTTCTGTATTATTGGTATCATCAGTGCCTGATTAGGCATCATATATTTGCCATCAATTAATTTAGTCTTTCTCATTCTGATTTGATGTTTTAATGTGCTGGCATGAGAACTTAATCAGTCATTGCTGGGATAAACAAATACGATAACTTTTTAGACAGAAGAAAGAATTCAGACAAGGCCAGTGCACTTGTAATTCAAATATTATCTGTATTTAACCTTTCCTTGCATAGGTTAGACTCTCATATTATCCTCTCAAGGATTTTATTCTTGTTTTCCTAAATAATTATCTGGACTACCTGACTTTGTGCTTGGCTATCAAATTTGCTGAGTTAGGAACACTGAGGAAAGGTTAATGTGTTCTCCTGCAGATGATTATGTCAGAATGGGCTAAGTCTGTGAAATATAAATAGCCAGAATGCCAAAGCAAATATTTCTATTCCCTTGAACTCATTAACAAATGTTTACTTTAGATGTGATAGGATGCGAGCTATTACTGCAGAATGGAAGAGATGGATAGATTAGGATGGTGGGAATTCACATGTAAAACAGGTCAGTATCCATTGGAACCTAATACTTCCTTACTGAAAACTCAAAAATGGCTTAATTTATGTACACATTCTTAGATACAAATATTTTATTTAATATTTCATCACTTACAGGTAGAGGTTTCTTCTTTCAGTCCTTTCTGAGTTTCTATCCTGAATGGCAATAAGGAAAATCTATTAAATGGCTCATATTTCATGCTAAAAGGGGAATGACAGCAGTAATTCAGCACAACCAGCATATAGAAGGGTGAACATCATGTAGAAAGTCATGTAACTTATGGAGCTTAAAGTTAAAACATGAGCAGCACACCAGAATCCAAGGAAATATCTGGTGCATTTTTGTTTCTTTCCAAACTGTAAGTCTGATGTACTTTGTTAACAGAGTGAGCTGCCATTCAGTCTCAATTAAACTGCCAGAGCTGTAAGATAATAACAGCAGGAAATGCTTGGAAGATAAATTCAAGATGGTAGCTACAATGGGACATCTCTGAACTGATTAACTATATTGTGAAGCGTACTTATAGTAAAGCTGAAATAGACTTTATTTTTTATTAAAACAAGTAGTAGAAGAAAGCATCTTATCTCACTTCCCTTCCATGCCATACCCAATACATTCACTCTTGAACTTACTCTGTTTATAGCTTGCAAGGGACAAGGTTTATTTGAACTGATTATGTTTTGAGTTCATGTGGGTTTCTGCCTTCAACTGCAGAATGTACTCCACAAGTTCTTGTGTCACTCTGCCTGGCTATTCTTTTTGTTGCTGTGCCAGGGTTTATCACCACTCACTTCTGGATAGTGTTAATGGTGCAGTCACTTCCTCTCTGCCAAACAACCGTAACATTCACCAGACTTCCCTGCATGTTACGGAGCAACTCAAGTATCATTACCTGAAATGGACAAAAAAAATTAGAAATAAAAAAGTTAATCCTGTTTATAGAAGGAATTTTGATAGATGCTGAACACCCTTTTGACAGATTAATGCAAGGAAAGTAGTCATTTTGGATATCTTAGCAGAGTTTCAGCTGAGTGATGCTTCACAATACTCAGATTCTAAGAAAGGATTTGTTATGAAAGCTCCTCATTTTTGTTTTTTACTGCAACAAACTGTATTTTAAAGGGAAATGAAAACCAAGCTAACAAATGATGGAGAGGTGAAATCAGTGATGAGTCATTGCCCAGTGCAGTGTCAGCAAATAGTGTGGTCTGGCTGAGAAGAGCAATTCTCAACCAACCACAACTCCCAAGTCATCTCCTCCTTGTAACACACGAAATGTTATTAAGGGGGCCACATGGGAAGAGGTGGGAACTGTGAAACCTGTCAGTAGATGCCAAAGCAGACAGAAGTGTTTGTATATATGCAACTGAAATTCTGGAAAAAAACGTTATTTTGTAGATTCCTGAGAAACAGAAATAGCTGTAGAACTCTGGTTGAAGATAAACAGTTTTACCAAAACTAATTTCTTAGCAATTGGTTGAAAGATAGCAATGTTTACCTTTGGAAAACTACCACTGTGCTGTCAACTACACCAGTTAGAGCAACTTTCCAAATATTGCATCTCCTTATTCACTTATGCTTGACTCCATGCAAGTAAATGGCTCGCATTCCTTACAGTTGAAGGGAAAGGTCATAAGTCAGAGCCTTCTAGTCCTCCATGGTACTGGATCAAGCTAGTTCAATACACTGTCCCAGAGAATTCACATCTTTCCTTTTGATATGGGATGGAAGATCAATGTCTGAGGACATCTCTGGGTATACTAGCTTTGTTGCAGAGCAATCTCCATTGTGTGAAGAACAACAGAGGCCAAAATCCTAAATGAGAGGTAGATAACTCTTCTGTGATCTTCCTATTTCTTTTCCAAGATGGACTGAAATGGAATTTCGGTATGTTCAGAGAGGAAGGTTATTCTAATGCATTCAAATTTTTAAAGGGAATTTTTCTCCTGAGTTTGGGCTGGAAAACCCATCCCAGACCAAAGAAACTTCCTAATGGGAATTTTGTAAATTACAACCTTCCTCATAAAAATACTCTGTCTGACCAAATCTGCATCTCATGAATTTGGCCAGCTCTATTTTGGAAAGCCCATTACCATTCTTTCTTCATGCATTCACCAGTTATTATGTCTAAGGGTATGAGAAGAAAGATGTTTCTGCATCTCCGGAATTTATAGCAGCTCCTGCATTACTGTAAAGTGGACAGGTCAGTAGACGTCAGTCAGAGCTTGCAGAACCGAAGGTCTTTATCATCAGCTTGAAGCTTAGATGTGTATACCTTGCAAAAGCAGGTCTAAAGTACGGGAGGAAAAAAATTGCCCACCTTCACTGCTCCTGTTTTGCCACCTCATTGCCACTTCTGACTCATTTCTAACAAGGCACTGGCATCCTTTTCCCAGTTCAACCAGTCCATGCCAGCCTCCTGGGGAGGAAGAGATCTGATCTCCAGAGAGTTTACACAGACTGAGAACCCAGCTTGGGAGGCCTTCATTTGACCAAGTCTGAACTAACAAAGAGTGTGCCATTTAGGCAACCCAGGGGCGATATGCTGCTTTAAACTGCTCTGATCTTCAGCCAAAAGGGGGACTTTTGACTCTGTAAACTCAGGAACCAGGATTTTTGAAGGAAATTAAGAAATGTCTCACAACGAGTTAATGCTTATAGTGAAATATTAGCGTTCATTTTCTTCAGCTCCTGTGGAAAAACTCTCAGCTTTAATGAATAAAAGGAGCTAAATTTACTGTTTTTCACTACACAGTAGCACCTGGGTTGGTGTGATTTACAACCAATTGTCAGCTTATTCTATTGTGTTTCCTTTTTTTGGTGAGTTAAATGGGAGTTTAACATATTAAACAGACGTTGCCTGATACGCCTACAGAGCTTGTTGAACTATTTAAGAGTCTAAACCCCTATAAAATGACAGTGTTCCCGAGTAATTATAGATAATTATGGCTGAATATTTTGTATAAATTTAAGCAACATGGTAATTGCTTTTACTAAGTTGCAGCCTCAACGTAATACCATGTTTTAGTAACTAGACCTTTACTGTTATAAGCTTTAAATATTCTGGCACTTGTCTTAGAAACAAAATTATGTTTGGCAGTGAGATTTTGTGAAGAGCTATATGCAATGAAGACTTAAATGCATAATGTTATTCATGAAGTGTCCTTGGATCCTTTCTTCAAATGAAGAATGGTCCTCAAAGTCAAAAACTGATCCATATCTTAAGGGGCATACAGACAGTGTTTGAGATTAATGTGTTCATGTGCTTCATTGTTGCACTCCTTGCATTAGCAGCTCTAGGACTCTCTGAAGCTTAGATGGTCACTGAAAGCCTTGTAAAGACTCTACATGGCTTGGATGTGAAGCCTGTTGGATCTGAGTAAAGCCTACTAAGGTACAGATCAAAAGGCACTATGGACTGTTAGAACTGAGATTAAGCCTCATTTCACTACAGAGGTGGGAAAAGGGAGGAAAACCAGAAGTGATATTTCTTCAGTAATACTCTTGTAGGAGATCAATACCATCTGCAGAATTAGCTGGGTGTGGACAGAATGACCTGCTAAGCCAAGCTGCCTTTTTCTTTACAAAGCCTGTGAAATGAACCTAAACCAACCTTTTAAAATGCAGTTTTATGACCAGGCAAAAGTTACAGTGTGGAAAACATATCAGTGCAGCCGTATTTACTTTCTTGCCTTTTGTGGCAGTGGCTGATGATAGCCTAGTCCTCTTCCCGACAAATAAGAATAAAAAAGAGACAAACAAAACAAGCTCAATCAAAGTAAAAAATGATGAAATATTTTTCACTTCATGCAAACACTTTAGTAAGAGTAATGCCACTTGAATTTAGTGCTGCTTATTCACTGACTGTAAGCGACATAAGTGGTAGGAAGCTCAGGCACTCTGTCCATAATCCTAAGTGAAATGCAGGCCCTTTGCTTGTTTGACTTAAACTTTTGGGATCACGTTTGAAGTTTTGCATAATACAACTCTGGTCTCTGAGTTTTTTTCTTTACTGTGCAGATAAGAAAAGAGTTCATGATGAGATCAGAAAATGCCTGAGGTAAGATTGGTACCTTGGTTTCTTTCTTATTTCCCATAGATTATTTATTTTTTGGTTACGCTTTGCCTCTTTATTGCATTTGTTTTAGTGCCATGAGGTATCGTGGTCTCGCAGGGGTCTTCAGCTTAACAGCTGTGTGCTGAAAATACAACACAGTGGAGAGGAAAAAGTCTGGGATGTTTCTGGAGCGTGTGGAAGAGAACTTTCTGACACAGCAGGTGAGTGAGCCAATGAGAGAAAGCAGCATACTGGGCTTGTTTGTGAACAGAGAAGGCCTTCTGGGTGATGTGGCAGTTGGAAGCCACCTTGGGCATAATGATCATGAAATGATAAAGTTTTTGACACCAAGTTCGGTGGGAACATTGATCTGCTGGAAGATAGGAAGGCTCTACATAGAGATCTGAACAAGCTAGATAGATGGGCTGAGGCCAGTTGTATGAGGTTCAATAAGGCTCAATGCCATGTCCTGCCCCTGGGTCACAACAACCCCATGCAATGCTACAGGTTTGGGAAAGAGTGGCTGGAAAGATGCTTGTGGAAAAGGACCTGGGGGTGCTGACTGATGGAGCTGAACATGAGCAGCTTGTGCCCAGGCAGCCAAGAAGCCAACAACATCATGGTATGTGTCAGCAATAGTGTGACCTTCAGGGCCAGGGCAGTGGTGGTGCCCCTGTACTGGACACTGGTGAGGCTGCACCTCAAATCCTGTGTTCAGTTCTGGGCTCCTCACTACAAGAGAGACATTGAGGTGCTGGAACAGGGCCAGAGAAAGGCAATGGAGCTGGTGCAGGGCCTGGAGCACAAGTGTGATGGGAAATGTCTGTGGAATCTGGGGTGTTCAGTCTGGAGAAGAGAAGGCTCAGGGGGATCTTAGCACTCTCTACAGCTGCCTGAAAGTAGGATGGAGAGAGGTGGGTGTTGTATTTTTTCCCAAGTAACAAGCAATAGGATGAGAGGAAATGGCCCCAGGTTGTGCTAGAAGAGGTTTAGACTGGATATTAGGAAATATTTCTTCACTGGAAGCATCAAGCATTGGAACAAGCTGCCCAGGCAAGTGGTAGACTCACAATCCCTGCAGGTGTAGATGTGGTACTTAGGGACATGGTTTAGTGGTGGACTTGGCAATGTTAGGTTTATGTTTGGACTCGACGATCTTAAAGGTCTTTTCCAACCTAAATGACTCTATGATTCCATGATAACATTTTACTTTATTCTTCATTGTTTCAGTAACCTTGCTGTGTGAATATTACTTTTTTGTGATACTGTGAAGAACCAGGCATCTGTTTAGAGGAGGTGATTAGTAATAACCTTCATTAGGTGCTTGTCCAACAATTCAGAAGCCCAATGCAGATTAAAGTTGAATAGTGGCTTGAAATATGTTCACAGAATTGTCATCAATTAGGTGAAACAAATGTTCTTGCTGAAAATGTTATTTGCATGAGTCAACAGGTAGTAGCACATTTCCTGCTAGTGATAGATACATTTTCTTAGCTGAGCCTTTTATTCATGCCAGAGGCATGTGTTGGCACAGTTTGGCAGGGTTTAGAGGAAGCCTATGAAAAACACGTAAGAAACTCTTACAGGAAAATGTCAGTGAGACCTCTCCCTTCCCTCAGATGTGTGCCTGTGCATGACCCAGAACCTGCTTTGAACTTCACCTGCAGTGCTTACTCACAAAATGTATTTAAAAGCAAACTGTTTCAAGTTGCTGCTCAAATGTGATGGATGTCACCTTGCAAGAAAATACAAAAGTCCCTTCATGTGTGTTGCTCTCATTTATTTGGGAAGAAAACTGAATGGTAACACCTGTGTGACTCAACACTTAGCATTGAGGCTTGAGAGAAGCTGGGTTTTTATCTGAGGACCAACTTCTTTGTTGCTCCTCAGATGTTACTTGAACTTCCTCTACAGTTTTTTGAAGTGGAAGAAGCAAATGTGTATCAAGGAATTGATAGTTTAGTGGTTAATCATTGATTTCTGTCTGAGGTCACACCAGTTTTTAGTACATTCGGTCTGATAGTTACAGTCTAAACTGTCAACCTTTTTTAGATGCCTCGTTGTGCACAAGTAGAGCTTGTAGTTTTGAGCAGTTTGTGTCACAAGTATAGCTGCTTCTCTTGTAGTGGTTTGGGTACGGTGTTTTGTAAGCTATTGCTGAGAGCTTTCGAGGAATGGTTTTTAGACAATAGGTTGTTTTCAAGATGATGTTACTTTCAGGACATCACGTTTTCCCAAGCACAAGTTCCTTGCTGAGTACAAAAAGTGTGCAGGTGTGTGACATACCAGAAACAAGTGGGAAGGGCAGCTCAGGTACTCTGAGGGATGCTTGGGAGAAGTGCTGGAGTGAACAAGATCTGCCAAAATCTCATCAATGGAGACCACTGTTTCATATTAAACATATTGCTGCCACTGCCTCAGAATAAACCTTGTGTTGTAGTCCTGAACACGATGGCCAGCCCTTGGTGTATTGGTGCTAGGGGTGGTCTTATGCTGTACCTGGGGTGCACACCTGGATTTCCTTAATGCTGGATGTGGATGGGAAACACTGCTTTACCCTCCCTCCTCACTCCCCTGTGACCAGCATGAGCAAGGAGAGGGCTCACTTCTGGATCAGAGGCGAGTTGTCTTCTTTTGAATGTAAACTTTGAAACGTGCAGGGCAGTGGTGCTAAAAAGGGAGATGTCTTCTTGGCACTGACACCCAGCTCTGCAGACTTGATTGCTTTAAAATCTCTGGCTGTTATCACGCAGGAGTAGTTACTGGCACAATATCACAGTTCCCTGGCTGGGTGGCTTTGAGACCTTGGGCAGCAGAAGACTGCTCACAATCCCCAGAAAGCTTCCATCCAAAGCTTTGCAGAATTGTGTGTGGTGAATTTATATTGAAGCTTGGAAAGCGAGCCCAGTGCTTGGGAAAGGTGTTTTTTCATGTAGTTGCTACAAACCACAGGTTATACCAGCCTGCCACTACAGCCATCTCTTTCACCAAGCAAACACAGAGCTGTGGTTTCATCATTGAATCTAATTGTGTGAGAGATGTATACGTTATAAATAAGGGTCTTGAATGTTGAGACCCTAAGGATTGATATCAAAAGAATGCTTAGATTTGGCATTGCACTATTGTAATGATAATTTCCTGAAGTACATAGCATGAAGTTAGGAGCTCCCTGGATCCTTGGTCTCCGTTCTGGGGAGGGTACAATGTCCTGAGTTGAAGAAGGTGCATGACCAGCCTCAGGCAAAGAGAGCCTGTGAAACTGGCTGGTTGTTGAGTCTGTGGGCCAGTAAGTGAATGGTAGGTTGTCATGGTTTAAGCCCAGCCAGTAATTCAGAACCATGCAGCTGCTCTCTCACTCTCCCCCTTTTCTTACCCCTGCTCCCAGAGGGATAGGAAGGAGAATCAGAAGAATGTAACTCCCATGGGCTGAGATAAGAACAGCCCAGTAACTAAGGTATGACACAAACCACTGCTGCTACCACCAAGAATAATGATGATAAAGGAAATAACAAGGGGAGAGAATACAACTGGTCATCACCCGCCGACTGATATCCAGCCCGACCCGAGCAGTGACCTAACCCTTCTGGGTAACTGCCCCCAGTTTATATGGTGGGCATGTTGTGCTGTGGTATGGAATACATCTTTAGCTAGTTTAGGTCAGGTGTCCTGTCTCTGCTTCCTCCTGGCTTCTCATCCTCCCTGGCAGAGCATGAGGCTCACAAAGTCCTTGGTCAGAGTAAACATTACTGAGCAGCAACTAAAACCATCAGTGTTATGAGCACTGTTCCCAGGCTGAAAGTCAAAACCACAGCACTGCACCAGCTACTAAGAAAGAGAAAAATGACTGTTACTGCTGAACCCAAGATATAGGTGTCCTCTGGTCTTGTTAGGAAACAGAGTGATGAGCTGTGAGGATTGAGGATCTTCCATCAACAGATGGGGGCTCATCCAGTTTTGAATGCCAGAAATCTGATAAATGAAACTGAAGTCAAAATGTGGTGTGATTCCCCTTCCTTCCCTTCACCCCACCTCCCACCATGGCCAGGAGCAGATATGTAGGTAGCTATGTGATCATACTGATATGAGCTTTGGGATCTGCCTTCCCAGTTGTGTCCAGACAGTCAGAGCTCCTCTGACTTTACTCAGAGCCCTTGGGATGCTCTGGACTAGAAGCAAGGCAGATGATGTAGTCCCAGCTGTACACTTTCTCAGCTGGGTTATAATGGCCCATCTGACCCATGGGCAGCCTCTTCTCTGTCATTTGTCCTTGTAGATGTGCTTTAGATCTTCTGGTGTTTTAAATACCTGAGAAGTTCAGCATTGTTCCAGCGATTAAGATTCTGTGGGTGCCGCTTTGGAAAACAACTTTCCTGAAAACAAATATTAAAGAAGTGACTGGAAAAACAAGGCACACAGTCTTTTCCTGACGGTCCCTTGTATGGTTTTCCCCTGCACTTGCTTCCCTCTATTCAGTTAAAGATAAAAAAAAAAGCTATCCCAATCTTGGCAAAAATCACTCTGTTTGCCTTGATTTTTTTTTTTTTATTTTCTCAGCAGGAAGGCTTTGGAGCTGTTCAGAATTTTATAGGAAAGACGCCAAAACAAGGGACCAACTAATGGTGTGTGAACTTGCATAAAACAAGAAGAAAAGTAATGCCCAAACTTCTCTCCTCCTGGAAGGTCTGTTATATAACTCATGGTCTCGCTAGGTTTTCTTGCAAAAACAGGATGTAGCAAAATCCTTTAAGATATACAAACCTGCTATTTTGGTGCTGAAAAGATGGGAAAACTAAGATTATATATTCCATGGTGAATGTCATAGGTGGAAAAAAAATAATGTATTAAATGCCTGATTCCCTTTAGGGAGAATATGACAGATTCGAGACAGATGCATGTGAATAAATCTTCTTTTAATGAACGACACTTAGCTCTGCTGGGCTGTATCAAAAATATTGCCACGGTGTCTGTGCAGCTTCAGCAGCAGGAAGCTGAATTGCCAAAGAGGTAATATCCTGAGTCCGATCAGTGTATCATAATCAAACAGACGCTAAGCAAGAAGGATAGGGTGTCTCACAAACCATATTGGATTAAACAAGCTTGCTAACTGTCTGTAATTTCTATGGGTTCCAATAACTGTCTTAAAGGGCTAGACAGAAGCAGGATCACGCAGTGCATTATTTTGGAAGATCACCATCGCCCGGAACGTTGCCCTTACTGTAAT